TTCAGCGTGCCACAGAAGACTGTTCCTTCTCCCAAGTCAATAAACAGGTTGTGACATCACGTCCTGTCTAGAAGTGAAACGCCTGGAAGGATGGCCGTGTGCTCTACATACTGTACACACCAACACACACACACTCACATGCTGGGCTAGCCTTGTAGCTTAGCCTGCTTCCGCTTTCAGTGGAAAACAATGCCACTGATGTGCAACAACTGCTCTCACTGTGTAACTGAAGGCAGTTTGAGCCCAGAAAAATATACTTGCTGCTTGATATTCAAAAACAAATGTTTAGTCATTCCCTCAGTCTCTTGGTAGGAGCTAATGGGTTTTGTAGACAGAGCCACTGAGTTCTCACAGCCACTTATCAGCCCAGCTGTTCCAGCTTTCAAAGAACATCTCTGATAAACAGCAGTTTTGGTGAGTTGCTCACTGTCAGACACACTTTGCCAGGCAGCAGCAGCAGCAGCAGCAGCTTTGCGGTGACTAACTTAAACTGATAAAGACACTGTGCTCCTCAGTTAAGAGGATCAGATGAGGAGGGACTAATCTGTTGCTATCACAACCTCCTGACTCAAATCAGTCTTGCTGTGTACGTGCAACATGTGACAGCACAGGTTCAAGCATATGATGTTGACTGGATTATCCTGCTGACTACGTTTGTTCAGGCTCTTAGCTACATGTTGTGCCTGATTACATATGATATACTATAGACTGGATGCCACTTAAATACCACAGTTTACATTTTCCAGTTGGATTGTGTTTCTGCTGTTGTTCATTCTTCACATTTAATGTCAAATTGGTTGTTGGACGCCCCTGTGTAAATCATGTATCATGTTTATAACTAGTGTTCTCTCAATCACAAATATTTGTAAAGGTGGAAATACATAATCGCCTCAAAATGCAACATTGCCTATATTTGGTTATAAACACAGGATTCTTGAAAAGTCAGCAAAGGCGTAGGTAGAACTGCAGAGGACATGAGTCACTTTAGTAATGAATCGCTGAAGATTAGTGTTGTATGGTTTTTTGGATAAAAATTGTTTACTGTTACCCCTGTTTGTGTCATTTACTTGGCTTCTGGAATTCAGCTGTGTTTATCCTGAATGTGCAGGTTAGCCACTTCTGTTCTGACCAGAAAATCTGGACATATGACAAGCTCGAATGTCTGTTTATTGTCATAAAGCCGGGCAGTGAAATGATGTTAGAATAAACTATCTCAAATCTCATTTTGTGAAAACCCCCTGCCCTCCTGTAATGAGCTGTGGTGGTCTCCCAACCCAACAATAATGGTCAAATTTGTTGATCTTTGTAAGGAAGTTCTGTTTGTCCTCTCTGCTTCGGGGGCGGTCACAGCTTGGTGTCAGCAACTTAACGGCAGCTGAGAGCTTGTAGGGGATTTTACTTCTTGCTCAAGGACACTTCAGCTGGTGTGATGCTGTTTGAGGAGGTTGGAATTCTGTTTCCTAGTCCGGATGTCAAGGCCGGATCTCTATATATGTATACCTCAATACGTTTTTGGAACAGGCTGAAACTAATTCTGCAAATTTTAGACTGTATGTTTTAGGTAAAGTACAGCTGTTAAGACAGCATTTCACAATGGTTAGCATGTTAACATTTAGTAATCAGCACTAAGCACAAAGGACAACTGAGGCTGATGAAAATGTCATACAGTAGGTTCTGCGTGTTTTGGGTAAATTAAATGTTTTCCTTAATAGGGACTTTAGATGAAAAGGTCTGAAAAGCATTGGTCCTCTAGAGACCTTGAAAATTTCACAGCAATCCATCTATTAACTGTCAATATATTTTAGTCTGAGCCAAGGCATCGGACTGACCCACGCTGCCATCCATACAGCCATGCCGCTATAAACAGTAAATAATACATAAACCTAGTACCTGTACCATAAGTCTCACTGGGTCTGGAACCGCAACAGACTTCTCTACAGAGTTGGTTTCTTTTTTCCTTTTACTACCTTTTCGACATGCAGTGTGACAGAGAGGAGTCATTTTATCAGCAGTACTCATGAGGGACAGATACAGTCATTGATCTGACTTCCAAACAACAAGAACTAGCTCAAAATGCAATGAGCAGGTTGCCCTGATTTTCTCTGGCTGAGCAATAGAGCCAGTGTTCCTTAAGCTTTATTTTCTGACCCTCCACCCCCCAACAGTCTCTTTTCTCAGATTTGTTGTGCTTTGATTTTGCACAGCTCTGCATTAAGAGAGAATTTTGGTGTCCATCCAAATGTTTTTATTATTTCTTATTAAGCTAGGCCCCCATGGTATGCAAGTTCAAGTATCTGATGCTTTCAGCAGCTGAGTACACAGCCACAGGAGACACAAGCTCATGATTGTGTATGCGTTTATTTGGGTGTATTATAGTTGACACATTCACATAGATTCCTGGAGCGAGCTGCAGGAGGGAACAGCTACACACTAGAGGTGGGAAAAGTGCCTCATGTAGCTTTTCTCAGTCCTCAGGTGCTCTCTCTCCTGGTTAACAGTGTAAACATATGCAAATCATTAAGAGCTCAAAATAACTCCAGTGCTTTAAAGATGTTCCCAGAACCCGTACTGTGACTTTACAGTAGGTGAAGAGAACTGAAGGTCGGACAGTTCAGTATGTTTTTTCAGTGACTCTAAAGGGCAGCTCTAGCAAGGCAGATGATTGGATCTCTTTTTTTCTGTTCTGGTTTTTCTGCATTGCAGCTTGTTTTCATCTGCTATTGATTTAAATCCGTCCTCCTGAGGCCTGCAAGCCCCGTTTCGTCACCCGCTCCAGGAGAAAAACGATTCGATTTTTGCTGAAAATAGCACTTCTCCTAACTCAGATTCCACAGAAGAACTTGCTTAAAATAGATACCTCACTGTGCAGATAATATCTGTGAGTGTCCAGGACCCCAGGAAGGACGCCTGAAAGATTTGGTTTCAGAGGCACTGAGCTCTTTTGATGTGTTCTGCGCTGATGTGTGTTGATGTGGCACTATGGCCGACTGAAACCCAAACCGGTGGCCAGACACATTTGCCTGAATTAAATGCAGCAGCAATACTGTAGCTGAGTCCTTGCATGAGTATGAATTGGGTCAGTGTGGCTCTCGCTGCAAATGACAAGTCATGTATAATAAGTTAGCATGTGTCTGAAGTTAAAATGCGACTCTTTATGGCACTCACATGTTACTGTGTCCCCTTTACCAACTTGGCATGAAAAGAAGCTTCCAGTACTGTCGGTTAGAAAGTTGTCATGTGAATGGAAAGTAATTAGCTGCTTCTATCCAGGCCAGTGAATCAATTTCTCCTTCAATTCTTTTTATTGTGCTCACTGAAGGAACAGGAAACTGCTCTTGTCACTCACGGTTGTTTTTCTCTTCCTTTCCTCCCTCCCCTCTCCAGGGTCTCCACCTCTGAGTGGAACTGGGACTGTAACGGTTTTGGTGGATGATGTCAATGATAATGTCCCAGTTTTCTCCTCTTCCACCTTCCACACCACCATCATGGAGGACGCCCCGACCGGGACAGATGTGCTACTGGTCAACAGCTCAGATGCAGATGTGGGCATCAATGGTGTTGTAAGGTACTGATAAAGAAGTTTCTACACTTCTCTGGCTCCTCTTCACTTATTTTATTTATAGAGAACTCCTTTTTGTATTTTATTTGTGAGAATCTAACGGGTAAATATTGGTGTCTCTGTGTTTTGACTTGTTTACTTGTATTTTTTAGCAGTTTTTGTGAGAGAGAGACAGCATTTTATGCCTTTATTAAAGAGCTCAGAGACACATATAGGCGCTTATATACAACAAATGTTCCCAGCACAAACACAAACTCCATTACTTTGCAATTAATGATCAGTGCCTTCAACCCCCTGGGGCCTCAAGGCGCTCCACTTGTTTATGTGTTTGAACCCAAATACATTTCAACAGGTTTGACTTTGATCCAGTTTTTCCAGCCTTTTAGGTTGAAATACAGTTTGTAAGGGACTAGTTTTCTAAGGGGACGTTAACAATGAAATAATTTTTTAAAAATCTTTACAGACATGATTACATTTTGAAATGAATTGAAAAAAATATAAACCAAATTCTAAAACAAATTAGAGAAGTAGCTTCACAATCTGATTAATTTCTTCCGGGGACCTCTGTAGGGAACAACAGGCAATTTTCACTCAATGTTTATTTCAAATTTTATTTATTAGGAGACAGATTAATAAAGGAATAGGAATCTTTTGTGTGCATAAGACTAATGAAGCCATTTCTCACAATGCAGAGGAGATCTGTGTCACTTCCAGTAACTGTTGTAATCAGGTCAGCTTTAGTTTGCTTTACTGTACAGTTCCAGTAACTGCTGTAATCAGGTCAGCTTTAGTTTGCTTTGATTCCCTGGTGTGAAACCACCTTTCCAGGCCACATAAGACCAGTTTTAAGTTTGCCTCACGCCTTCGGTGAAACGTTGTACCTCATCATTGGCTGTGTAATTCCAGGACGATGTTGCAATTGATGGGACCAGTTTTGGGTTTGCCTCACGCCTTCTGTGAAACGTTGTACCTCATAATTCCAGGACGATGTTGCAATTGATGACAGCAGTTTAGGCAGAGAGTGTAGAGTTGTAATCAACACCCAGAGTCATTGTTTGGGCTGCTATTCTCAAGCCAGATGACAAACTTTTCATACTTTCAGCCTCTTTCCATGGGGCGGCTAGTAAGAGCTTCTGGCCAGTTTCTCTCATGTTGGACGCTGACTCAAGTGTGACCCCTCCTCTCTCCTTAGTAACCCCACCGGGTACACACTGGGGGTACCACAGTGCGCTCCAGTTTCCAAAACATGGTAATGAGGATGTTAATCATCTATGACAGTGTGAGTTGTGTCCATCAGGGGTTCAGGGAGATGGAGGCCCTTTACCAGAACTGGTTACCTTCAGTTATTAGTTTTGGTTCATACATTCATTTAAATGTAAGTCTGACACCTGGATCTGTCTCTGGCCTGTGTTCAGACCACAAACATCTTTGGACAGTTTGTTATTGATGATGTCCAGACAAGCTTTGTATCCACTCTGTGTTCACACGGTGTTCTGTAATTTGTCATCCCGTTTGTGGAGGGACATGCTTTTTCAAGAAGTCTTTTCAATATATGCACTGATGTGTATGTATGTACTATGTGTCAGCTTACATTTATGTCTTGGCCCTGCTGGAGACTCGTCAGATACAGGCTGAAACATGATATTTTTTTGAAAGCCAAAGAGTGTGCCCCCTAAGTCCTGATGAGTAGGTAGCTGTGTGATGTTATGTATGTACTTTATGTTTAGTTTGTGTTGTATGTGATACATCTTTTAGGTATTGCATGTTTAATCTTTTTTCTTAATGATTAATCAGTTTGAAGGATTCTGGAGTTTTCCAACTTCAGAAGAGAAGGCAGCTTGAACCACGGGGCCTCTCTGTGGCCAGTGATGCAAAAAACAGTGGATACATTTGACAACAAAAATTAAACCAGATGCCTCAGTCAGTTCACTCACTGTTTAGATGTCATGCCAGTACAATAATATGAACATTACTGCATGTTTTATCATCAAATCTGCACTTGTGACATTTGAAACAGTGCCCTCTATGGATCACACTGTGACTGTTCTGAATGAGACCCATCAGCCAGTGGCAGTGGAGCAAATAAAATGAACAAACTGGTTTATGGGAATGACTCATGTCACACGTGAAGGAGCTCCATAGCCACAGTGAAGTAACAGGGAGATTTTTATGGATTACCTGCAGGTTGACACCTTTTAGTGTCCTTTCACAATGTAATATCTTATTTGAAACACTAAAACATGTATATATATGCAAGTGTGGTAAAAATCCCTTGAGAAGACCAGTTAGTCATTTTCTCTGTTTCCTTTTCTATAGGCAATTCACATGCACTTCTGATTGGTGCAGATTTTTATTAATGCAAATTGATATTTCACTTGGCAAAGATAGAGGAACGAATATATCTACGACATGACTTATAATAAATATAGGTCCTGGAAATGAGTGTGTTAGCATTTTGCCAAACAATGTCAAGGAGTAAAAACAATCAAACATAGAATTTACTATGTCTAATAATATTTTTATAGTGTTTTCATAGGTACTTAAAAATGACTTTACTACTCAGAGTTGGTTTTTATGAGAACTCACAAGGCATCCAACACAAATTCAGTTAAATATCTGACCCAGCTACAGTCCCTTGTTGATCTAAATTTACAAACCTGACACGGAAACTTGTCCTGCTTTATTTTTCCCACAGCTACAGCTTGACTGGAGGACATGGCCGCTTCTCTATCAATCCGGCTACAGGACAGATCATCACCAGCTCCCTGCTCGACCGAGAAGACAGGGACAATTTCCAGCTGCTGGTTGTGGCAACAGATGGAGGTCAACCTGAGGGCTTGTCCAGCTCCGCCACCGTGTCTGTGACTGTGGCCGACATCAACGATAACCCTCCACGTTTCCACCACCACCCCTATGTCACCCACATCCCTGCCTCTACTGGAGCAGGTGAGAACAAAGTGTCATGGTTTGCACCTGTTCTCACTGCTACTGGGCTGTGTCGGTGTTACTTTAAACTTTTGATTTGACCATGCTGATGCCCTGTTTTAATTACATAGGGTATTTGCAGTTTCTTGAAAAGAATTTTACTTTAGTTTTAAACTGGAAGTTTTACTGTTTTTGCAAAGTAAAGTATTTCTACACAGATCATTTTTCTTACTTGGCTTCATATGTATGTTTAGGTGTAAGATAACAGATGGTGGCTTTTATTAAATGCAGTAACACTTATTTCTTCCTGTTTGTGTCATCAGGGTCCCTGGTTTTCGCTGTTACTGTCACTGACGAGGACTCGGGTTCCAACGCCCAGCTGCACTACTCCTTAATGGGGCGAAACTCTGAGAAATTCAAGATCGACCCAGTCAGAGGTGCCATCACGGCCAATGAGAAACTAACTGGAAGCTCAGAAGTTACCCTCACTGTTCGAGTAAAAGACAGCGGTGCTAACCCCAAAACAGACATGACCACTGTGACTGTCCGCTTTGTTACTGGAGGAAACTTCCCTGTCATCAAGCTGAAGGAGCATGCATTCACGTTCCCTGAGAGCCAGCCGACAAACCACATCGTTACAACAGTGACTGGGTCTTCTATGAGGGGTGGACCTCTGTCATATTATATCGCCAGTGGCAACCTTGATAATGCCTTTCATATTGACCAGTTATCTGGCGAACTGTCAATCAGACACCCACTGGATTATGAACACATTCAGAAATATGTTCTCTGGATTGAAGCCAGAGATCAGGGCTTCCCACCTTATTCTTCTTATGAAAAAGTGGAGTTAACTGTGCTGGATGTGAATGACAATCACCCAGTGTTTGATAAGGATCCCTTCCATGCTGAGATACTAGAGAATCTTTCACCTCAGCGGGTGCTGATGGTCTCTGCTGTCGACCTAGACAGTGGCCCTAATGGACAGCTGGAATATGCTATCATTGACGGCAATAAGGAGAACAGCTTCAGCATCAATCGAGCAACTGGTGAAATACGGACCACCAGGCCACTGGACCGAGAGAAAGTGTCTCAGTATACTTTGAAAATCAAAGCCACTGACCGGGGGTTGCCACCCAAAAACACAGCAGTCAAAGTGCTAATCAATGTACTGGATGTGAATGATAATGCCCCCAGGTTTTCTAAGATCTTTAGTGCCACAGTGGCTGAAAATGCCCCAGTGGGCTACACTGTCACCAGAGTCACCACCACAGATGAGGATGCTGGTTCAAATGCCATTAGCCGATATTCACTTACAGATACCAGTCTTCCATTCAATATTAATCCAAGCACAGGAGACATAACAATAAGTCGGCTACTCAACAGAGAAGACACAGATCATTACATTATCAAAGTGTCTGCCCACGACTCTGGTTGGACAGTTAGTACAGATGTTACCGTATTTATAACAGATATTAACGACAACGCCCCCAGATTTAGTCGTCCTTCCTACTATCTGGACTACCCTGAGCTCACAGAGGTGGGCTCGCTGGTGACACAGGTGTCTGCCACAGACCCTGACGAGGGTTTCAATGGCAAAATATTTTATTTCATTCGGTCCCAGTCAGAGTATTTCAGAATTAATGCCAGCTCTGGAGAAATATTTGTGAAGCAGCAGTTAAAATATCAGAACTCAACAAGTGCTAGTAGTATAAATGTAAATCGCCACAGCTTCATTGTCACGGCCTCGGACCGGGCAGTCAAGCCTTTGATGAGTGAGACGACAGTAATTGTGAACATTGTAGACAGTAACGATAATCCTCCAGAGTTTGACTCACCTAGTTACTTTACTCCTGTCACAAAAAGTGTCAAAGTTGGCACCAGACTGATCAGGGTTGTAGCTCATGACAAAAAAGACTTTGGCCTTAATTCAGAGGTTGAGTACCTAATAACAGGTGGAAACAGCTCGAATAAATTCAGACTTGATAAAACAAGTGGATGGATTTCTGTTGCCTCCTCCCTTACATCTGATATGAATAAAAATTTCCTCACTGACATCACAGCAAGTGACAGAGGAAATCCTCCTTTGTCAGCACGAACATCAGTGCGAATTGCAGTCACTGAGGAAAACCACCACACCCCTGAGTTCTCACAGAGCCAAATCTCAGCTACTGTACCTGAAAGCCTTGCTGTGGGTACAGCAATAAGGACCCTGTCTGCAAGAGACAAAGATAAAGAAATGAATGGCCTTATCACATACAGTATCACGTCAGGCAACGACAAAGGTCTGTTTGCACTTAATAGTAAAACTGGGGTGTTATCCCTAGCTCACCCTCTGGACTTTGAAGAGAAGCAACAACATGAGCTTAGAGCTTCAGCCACTGATGGTGGTTGGATTGCAAAAACAAGCTATGTCACCATAACAATACATGTAACTGATGTGAATGACAACCCTCCTGTGTTTGATCCTGACGAGTACTTCCCCATTGTACAGGAGAACGTTCCCAGTGGCACCACTGTGGTCAAGTTGAGCGCCAGAGACCGTGATTCAGGAGCTAATGCAGTCATGGCTTATGTGATTCAGTCATCAGACAGTGACCTCTTTGTTATTGACCCAAACACGGGCACCGTCACCACCCAGGGCTTTTTGGACTACGAGGCTAAGCAGGTGTACCATTTAACAGTGAAGGCCTTCAATGTCCCAGATGAGGATCGCTGCAGCTTCGCCAATGTTAACATTCAGCTAAAGGGAGCCAATGAATACGTTCCTCGCTTTGTCTCCAAACAGTACTACTTTGAAGTCTCTGAAGCTGCTCCAAAAGGTACAGTGGTTGGGGAAGTGTTTGCCAGTGATCGAGACCAAGGAGATGATGGAGTGGTTCACTACCTTATTTTTGGGAAGAGCAGAAACAAAGGCTTTGGCATTAACAGAAACACGGGTCAGATTTATGTCATAGGTACTCTAGACCGTGAGAAAGAGGAAAAGATTTCACTGAAGGTGTTGGCAAAGAACGCAGGAAGCATCCATGGGGCAGATATTGATGAGGTATTTGTGAATATCACAGTTCTTGACGCTAACGATCCTCCAGTTTTTACCCAAGAGCTGTATGACGTGCAGGTCAGTGAAGGTCTCCCAACAGGTGGTCTTGTTACCTTTGTTAGTGCTGAGGACTCAGACTCTGTCCCGAGCTGGAGCAGATTTTCTTACTCCATTGCTCCTGAGTTTAATAGAAATGTTTTCACTATCAACCCAAAAACTGGCCAAGTGTCTGTGGCTGCGGAGCTAGACAGAGAAACAACTCCTGTGTATAATCTGACTGTTCTTGCTGTGGATACTGGCACACCTCCTGCAACCGGAAGCACAACTGTGATTGTGAATCTGGAAGATATCAACGATAACGGTCCAACTTTGACAACCACCTATGCTGAGGTAATGGAGAACCAGAGAGCTGGCACTGCAGTTACAACACTGACAGCCTCCGACCCAGATTTACCACCCAACCAAGGCCCTTTCTTATACAGCCTCCTCAGTTCTGGCTCTGCTAACAGCTACTTCAGCCTGAGTCCAGCTGGAGTGTTAACCACCAGTCGGGAGATCGACAGAGAACAGATTAGCGACTTCTATCTCTCTGTTGTGATTAAGGACTCAGGTGTGCCTCAGATGTCCTCCACAGGAACAATCCACATCAAAATAAATGATCAGAATGACAATCCTTCAGAGCCAAGGTCCATGGAAATCTTTGTTCATTACTTTGGGAACATGTTTTCCGGAGGTTCTTTGGGAGATGTCAAACCCCAAGACCCTGACATTCAGGACAGGTTCCACTGCTCCCTCATTCCTCCATCTTCTGGTTTGTTTAGTATCCCAACAGGAACATGCAACCTCAACTCTAAAGCCCGCTCAACAGATGGGACTTTTGAACTAACTATCCGTAGCAGTGATGGTGTCCATGGTCCAGTCAGCAATACAGCCAGAGTCCTCTTCCTAGGTTTCACAAATGCCACAGTGGACAACAGCATACTCATCCGACTCAATTCTCAAGGAGTCAGAAATTTCCTTACCAACCATTACCTCAGCTTCTTGCGCATTGCCAACTCTCAGCTAGCAGGACTGGGCACAGGGGTGCTGCTTTATGGAGCATTTGAGCTCGACAATCAGACTTTCCTGATGGCAGCTGTGAAACGGGGCCATGGACAATATGTCAACCCCAGTGGTGTGGCCACATTCTTTCAGAGTATCAAAGACATTTTATACAGACAGAGCGGGGTGCAAATAGATGCGGTGGACCATGATCCTTGTACACGAAACCCATGCCAGAACGGAGGCAGCTGCAAGAGGCGTCTCAGTGTCGGGCCTGATTTGAAGACAGAAGAAAGTGTCCCAGTGATTCTTGTTTCCAACCACCCCCTGCAGCCCTACGCCTGCAGCTGTAGGCCAGGATACACAGGAGCTCTGTGTGAGACAGACATCAACGAGTGCCAGCCATCACCCTGTCACAATGGCGGCACCAGCCACAATCTGGTGGGGGGCTTTTCCTGGACCTGTCCTGGACGCTTCACCGAG